TTTAGAAGAAAACTAGGAGGAAGCCCCTCACGACCTTGAAGTGGGTAAAAGAGATAAAAAGTTTGCGGGGCATGAAAAACATCCCTGGCCGGGCGGGGTGGCTCACGCCTGTAATCCCAGCACTCTGGGAGGCCGGGTGGCGGATTGCTCAAGTCAGGAGTTCAAAACCAGCCTGAGCAAGAGCGAGACCCCGTCTCTACTATAATAGAAAGAAATTAATTGCCAACTAATATATATGAAAAAAAATTAGCCGGGCGTGGTGGCGCATGCCGTAGTCCCAGCTACTGGGAGGCTGAGGCAGGAGAGATCGCTTGAGCCCAGGAGTTTGAGGTTGCTGTGAGCTAGGCTGACGCCACGGCACTCACTCTAGCCTGGGCCACAAAGCGAGACTCTGTCTCAAAAAAAAAAAAAGAAAAGAAAAGAAAAGAAAAATATCCATCACGCAAGCAAAACATTAAATGGGACTTCACTGAAAACAACCCCTTTATTGGAAGGTAACACCGAGCGACTGTTTAGTCGCCACGCTCTTCAGTCTGGGGCGGTCCTGCCGTCGTCTCTTGGCTTTCACGACCTTGACGTCCCTTGGCTTTCACGACCTTGGCGGTCCCGGGGGTCGCAGGCCAGGTCTGGCTCTGCGATCTCTCCGCCTGGGTCTGCCTGGTGCTTTATGACGTGTTTTGGCAGCTCGTGGCCACAGCACAACCCTGCAGCCGGCGTGGCCGCCACGGCAGACCGAGGACCTGAAGCCTCCTGGCTCTGGAGGCCGCAGGTGGAGGACCACGGGGCTGATGGACTTGCTGCGAGCCGCCCTCCCCATGCCTGCTGGCACACGGCAGCTCCCGGTCCGTGTCCTCGCGGGAGGGGACAGAGCCAGCCCTCCGGTGTCCCTTACTTGGGGACCAGCCCCGCCCTGGGCCCCCACCCTCATGACCTCATCTAACCCTAATCACCTCCCAGGCCCCCCGTAAAACGCCGCCGCGGTGGTGGCGGGGGCTCCGGCACGCAGGTCTTGGGGACAGGAACATTCGGTCCCCGACAGGCAGGAATGTCATGGACCCAACACCATCCTCCGTGCACCCGGCAGCTGGCAGGTGACTTCGATTTGCCCGAAGACTGGTGACGTTCGCTCTGACCCTTCGGTCTGGGTGGTGCGGGCTGCACTTCTCTGCCCATGACGTTACTTCCAAAGCTGCGTGCGAGGAGGTGACGTTTCCCTGCGTGATTATAATTAGGCTTCAGCACGGTGCTTGGGAACTAGACGTGCCTGTTAAACTTCTGCTTCTCTGCACCTTTATTACCCTCAGCGTGGACTTTGTTCAATGCGCTGCAGACCTTATCAGCACATTTAGCGCCCACTGACTTGGTCAGGGAGGCTCCTCCTGTGCTGGGCGGTGGGACAGGGGTCCAGGCCGGTCCCCCACCTCCCCTGTCCTGCCTGCGGCAGCCACTTCCAGCCTCCCCACCCCCACCTGTCCATGGTGGTGCTTGGAGCAGTGCCTGTTGCCAGCGAGCTACTCGCTCCTGGGGTGAGGCTGCTTCCAGATGCCCTCAGTGGAGGCCCAGAGAGGGTGCTGGCCCCTCCAGTTCACCCAGCACTGCAGGGCAGGTGGAGATTTTTTTGAGACAGAGTCTCACTCTGTTGCCCAGGCTAGAGTGAGTGCCGTGGCGTCAGCCTAGCTCACAGCAACCTCAAACTCCTGAGCTCAAGCAATCCTCCTGCCTCAGCCTCCCGAGTAGCTGGGACTACAGGCATGCGCCACCATACCCGGCTAATTTTTTCTACATATATTTTTAGTTGGCCAATTAATTTCTTTCTACTTTTAGTAAAGACGGGGTCTCACTCTTGCTCAGGCTGGTCTTGAACTCCTGAGCTCAAACAATCCTCCCGCCTCAGCCTCCCAGAGTGCTAGGATTACAGGCGTGAGCCACCGCGCCCGGTCTGAGTTTTATTGTCTGTCTTCACCGTTCTTGCTCTCTGCACCAGCAGCGAGAAACCTGACTCCCATCCCTGTCGTATGTTCACCCCTGTGACCCCCCCCGTGTCACTGCGTGTAACCACCCCCTCCCGTCCTGCAGCCCCTCCCAGGCACTGCACCCGGGCCCCCCACCTCCCGAGGGCCCCCCGCTCCCCCTGCTCGGCCCCCCCACCCCCGGGGGTCCTGCCTGCACAGGGACCCCCTTTCCGCTCCCCTCTGTGTGCATTTTGGTTCACGATGAAAATCAACAATCTGCGGCCCACTGCTTCCCTTACCCGGTTTTCTCCCCGGAGATAGTCTATTCTGCGCCTTGGAATTATCTATGAATAAACATAAGCATAATTTCCCTCGGGGACATTACTTGAACCCCAACAAAGATGTGCATATTCACTCGTTTTATTTTCAGACGCAGATGGAAACGTGTCGACCGCCGTTTGAGTCACTTCCCGTCCTCGGCCTGGTGAGCAATGCCGCGGTGATGTGCAGACGCGGGCACAGCGGACAGGAAAGGGGCGTGAGGCGGGAAAGTGCAACCCAAGGACTTTGCCACCCCTGAGCACCGCCAGCGCCCGGGAATGGAAGCTTCCGGCAGCGCTGCGTCCTGCATCTGTGCCTGGATTGCGGCGGCCCAAGGTCTTTCTCTCTGGTGGCCGCTTCTATTTGCGTCCGGCAGAGACAAGCAGGGCCCGGCGGGGGCTGTGGGTGCAGCTGCATTAAAACTGGAATCTGCAGTTCATAAAGGGAAGCCGCGGAGAGAGTGGAGAAGCCGTCCGTGGTGAGCGGAGCCGGCCAGGGGGACAAGGGCGTGCGCCGTCCTCAGGGGACTCCTGCAACCGGGGGGCAGGGACAGCCCCGAGGGAGGGGACATCGAGGCACCAGGTGGGCGTCGGGGAAAAGAGAACAACCGAGTGGCCGGCAGACGCGGGGAAGGGACGTTCGACTTCTCCGAGTTGGGGAAGTGAGAACTGAAGCCGCCGTGAGAGGTGCCTCCCTCTGTAGTCGCCAGTGGCTGAAATAAAAAAGGGCGACAACAGGCACCCTGGGGCCCGGAGGAAGCGCCGGGAACATGCCGGTGGGGTCACGGCACAGCTGCGGCAGGAAGAAGACCCGTCGGCCTCAAGATCCCAAGTCCCTGTCCCGAGCACGTGCCCGGGAGGCGTCCCGGGGGCAGGCACACGCGTGTGCCCAGCGGCGGTGCCCACGGACGCCCTGCGGTCTGCTGGCCGTGAAATGATGAATGGATTAACGGTGGCACAGCCAGCCGGCCGGGGAACAGGCGAGCCGTGCCCACGGCACCACGGAAGACACCACAGCCTGCGGGTGCCAGGCACACGGGATGATAAGACGTCCGGTTTCATTTATAAAAATTCTAGAACTAGGAACTTGTCTAGCAGGTGACGCTGCTGAGCGGCGCACACTCGGGTCCACAAAAGCACAGAGTCGATGGCCGCGTGTAGCAAACACACTGTGTGGACGCCGGGTCAGCCCACTGACCTCGAGACCCAGGACCCCACCTCCCCGAGTGTCCGGGCCCAGCAGCCAGGACTCCTCCGAGGCCATCGGCCTCTCCCGGCACACCCTAGGTGACTCCCCGGGGGCGGCAGGGCCACCCGTGCCTGATGGCAGGAGCATGGCACGCCCCCACGCCCGGTCAGACGCCCCCGGCCCTCCAGCCACACCCCGCCAGCCTGCAGCCCCGCGGCAGCCCCAGCCTGGGGTCAGGGGTCAGCACCTGGAGGGTCCTGCCTGGCCCCCATGTGTCCCCTCCTGACGCAGCACCCTCCCCTTGGCGCCCAGGCCCTGCTGCTCCGAGGCTGCCTGCTCCCTCTGCCCGTCCTGCAGAGCCGCCTCCGGCCCGAGCCGGGACCCCGTGGTGGGCCCTGACCACCCCGCCCCTCCCTTGCAGGGTCCCCGGGTCAGGACGTTGACACCACATCCCGCTGTGGCCATGTCCCCACCCTGCGCCTGTCCCGCAGGCTGCAAGCTTTGGCGCCCAGCTCAGAGACCTCCCGTCCCAGCCCTGGGCCTCACACCCATGCGGTGGCATCAGGCACGTGACGTCCCACTGCGACCGTGATTGTCCAGACCAGGGTCACTGATCCCCCGAGCTGCTGCTCCCTGGCGGCCCCTGTCCCCTCTGTGCTCCCCGGCACGGTGTCCCCAGACCCTCTGCCTCGGCCTCCCTGGCAGCCCTGAGCTCCCCGGCCTGCACGGCCCCCCTCTGGCCCCGACGGCGTCTCTCTGCTTGGCGGGGCACCGTTGGCATCTTCCTCCCGGGTTTGCTTCTGGCACAGTGTCCCGCCCAGCACCCGCCGCCCCTCTCGTGCCTCCCCCCGGCCAGACCACCAGTCCTGCCGCCCGGCGCCTTCCCGGGCGCCCTCTGGCCCAGCCGCAGCCCCCACTGCAGCCTCTGTCCACGCTGGTCCCCTGCCGGCCGGTCCTGGCACCCCAGAGGGCTCCGTCTGCAGAGAGCGCGGGGCAGCCCGGCCTCTGCCCTGTAAGGTTCACCCGTCCCTCCCGTCCTTCTGGTTGCTCCGTGCCCAGACCCCGCGGCTCCCCAGCCCCGCCCGGCTCTGCACGCCTCTGCTCCCCTCCCCTGACCCCTACTCCCCCGCCAGCCCCTGACGTCCCCTCTCCGCTGCTGCTCAGACTCCGCTGGAGGAACCCCCACCGAGGGACCAGCACCCCTCCACCCTCTGCAGCACCTACACCCCCCGCCCCCGCCCGCACCGCCTGCAGCCACCAGTCGATGGTACAGTGGCCGTGGGGATGGAGGGCTGTTCCCCACCTTGCAGGCAGGAGCGTGGTGCGAGCCCCCGAGACGGGTGGCCAGCGGTCAAGGCTCTGCCCCTGCCCGGCCAGCACGGACTAGGGGACCCAGGTTTGGGGCGCCCACCCCCCCCAAACCCCCTTGGTTGGTCCCCTGTCGGAAGATCGCCTGGCCACAGGCAAATCTCTCTGGCAGAGCCTGGGGTGTGGACGGCGCCCTCCGTGTCCCTCCCCCCGGGGGCTGTGGGGCAGGAGGCAGGGGCGCTGCACGGGTTTTATTGAAAGTTCATAGACACAGAGCGGAGCAGGTCACAGCAGGAGGGGGAGGAGGAGCGGGAATCCCGGATGCTGGCGCCCCCCACCCCGGGCAGCCCCCATATAAGCCCTTCTCGCCGGGTGTCGGGTAGGGGGGAGCCCGGGCCTGGGAAGGGGCGTGGGAGGGTGGGGGCGGCAGCCGCAGGAAGCCGGAGAGCAGCGGCACAGGGGGGAGCCCACAGGCCCCAGAGAGGGGCGGGCGGGGTGGGGGGACCTGGCTGGTGGCCCCCTGGCCGTGCTCAGCTCCCGACGGCCTCGCTGCCGGGGTCACGGCTCAGGGGGCCCCAGGACAGAGGCCCTGCGCCACCCAAAATCTCGGGAGCTGACGTCTCGGCGATCCTGGAAGTGACATTGTCTCCGTGCCCGGCCTCAGTAGTCGCTGAGCGGGTACCGCAGGAAGATGAAGATGAGGATGATGCAGGAGGCTGCCAGGGCGGAGCTGGTGATGTTGAACAGCCGGGCCGTCTTGGCGTCCTCCACGGCCCCGTTCAGGTCGTTGAGGAGCTTCTTGTCCCGGACCTGTGGGCGTCAGAGCACAGCGTGACCGGGGGGCCGGTGACCCGCCCACCCCCTGCTCTCAGACGGCTCTGCGGCGCCACACGCAGGGGACGCAGGACACGGGCCACCGGGCCTGAGCCTACGCACTCTGAAACCCTGTGCAAAGTCAGGAGGAGAAAGAGGAAAAGTGAATACGGCGAAAGGTTAGCACTGGGGACAGCTGGGTGCAAGTGTCAAGGCCTTCTTCCTCTTTTGCGGTAAGTCTAAAATTGCTTAAAATGAAAGAAGTTGGCCCCAGAGAGAGTGGTCGGAGGACCGGGCCACACGTGTCCTGATTCCGTGGCTCCTGCCCCATGTGACATGGGGTGGGAGGACCGAGAGTGGGCACAGGGGTGTCCCCGGCTCTGAGAGTGGCCGGGGCCCAGGATTCCCAGGAGGCCCGGCACCGGGCTGACACGTTTCAGAGACGCCACCTCACCCAGGCCCAGTCTCGGGGTCCCCATTCCCCCCACAGAGTCCAAATGAGGGCAGGAGCAGGAGGGGAGGGGCAGAAGGTCTTCCACGAGTGGGCTGGGCCGGGCTGTCGGAGGAGGTGGGCAGGTGTACCGTGGTTTCCCGGAAAATAGGACCTGCCCATAAAATAAGCCCTAGCAGGATGTCTAAGCATGTGCGCAATAGAAGCCCTACCCCGAAAATAAGCCCTAGCATGGTGGTGCATGCCTGTAGTCCCAGCTACTCGGGAGGCTGAGGCAGGAGGATTGCTTGAGCTCAGGAGTTTGAGGTTGCTGTGAGCTAGGCTGACGCCACGGCACTCACTCTAGCCTGGGCAACAGAGTGAGACTCTGTCTCAAAAAAAAAAAATTAATGTCTTTCTATTTTTTTTTAGTAGAGATGGGGTCTCGCTCTTGCATCAGGCTGGTCTCGAACTCCTGACCTCGAGCGATCCTCCCGCCTCGGCCTCCCAGAGTGCTGGGATTACAGGTGCGAGCCACCTCGATGCAACTTAAAACCACGTTTAAAAAGCACGTCTCTAACTGACTTTCGCTGGCGTGTGCGCCCTGATGCTCTTGTGTAAACAGGTGCTGCACCTTCAGCGCCAGGACGCCGCTCATCGTTGTCAGCTGTCTGTGGCCCTGCAAAATTTCCACACGACGGACATGGTGTTTTCTCCTCCAACTCATTCACCCGCTGGGTTGTATTCATCGACTTTCTTATGCTAAAGCAACCCTGGGCTGTGACCTCACTGTCAGGTCATTGCAACGCGGAGCGGGTGGCGGGGGGTGTCCACGGTGGACGGCCCTGGAGGGCAGCTGGGGGACGGGAGGGACGGGAGAGAGGGGACAAGGAAGAGGAGGACATCGGAGGTGACACGGCAGCTGGAGGGTGGCCGGAGCTGGACGCCCGGCACAGGGGTGTGGACATGGGAACGCGTGCTGGGGCAGCCTGGCTGCACGGAGCCACACGTGTGTGGGGGGCGGCGGGTTTAGGGTGCAGACGCCCCTGGAGCTACAGCGGGGTTGCAGCCCGACAAACCGGACCTCAGTGTAAAATGTCGCAGCCAGGCCAGGCGCGGTGGCTCACGCCTGTAATCCCAGCACTCCGGGAGGCCGAGGTGGGAGGACTGCTCGAGCTCAGGAGTTCGAGACCAGCCTGAGCAAGAGTGAGACCCGTCTCTACTATAAATAGAAAGAAATTAGCTGGACAGCTAAAAATACATAGAGAAAATTAGCAGGGCGTGGTGGTGCATGCCTGTAGTCCCAGCTATTGGGGAGGCTGAGGCAGGAGGATGGCTCTGTCTCAAAAAAAAAAAAAAAAAAACAATGTTGCAGTCAGAGCTGGGTTTGTGCAGACGTGGCCGCATGGCGAGGCGAGGGGTGAACACATGCATGTCGCTTCCCCTTACCGCAAAGGTGAGAAACCCAAGTCAGACCGCCGCTGGCTGGGGACCGTGTGGAGGGGTCGGTGCGTGGAGCACACAGACGGACACACGAATGCACGCCAGGCGGACACGCATGCGGATGAATGGATGGGCACACACGTGTGGCCAGATGGATTTATGGGCGTGTGTGGACGGCTGGCACGGGTGCACCGTGGGCGTGGCAGTGCACGCCGGGTCACAGGACAGGCACGCGGGCACACGCATGTGCCGGGTGGGTGGAGCAGTGGATTCCCGGCTGCGTGCTGCACGGGTGAGGCCGGGGAGAGTGCAAAGGGAGGAGAGTTTTTGGATAGACAGATCACAGCGTAGTGGGCCGGATGTGGGCGGATGGAGTCGCTCTCTCATTGGGTCCATCACCCCCCGGCTGACGAGCCGCCTGGCCCCCCAGGCACCACGGCGGGGTGAGCGGATGGACGGGATGAGAGGTGGCGGGAACAACAGAGGGGACTCGGGGGTCGGTGGCCGAACGGGTGGCGGGAGGAGGAGAGAGAGAGAGGAGAGGGTCAGTGGGCAGGAATCCCGCAGGTGACCAGCAGCTGCCCGGGAAGGAGGGCGGGCGAACGGGGAGAAAGGAGGGATGCGAGTTGGAACAGACGGATGAAGAAAGGAGGCAGAGAAGGAACGGAGGAGGGGGAGGCAGGGACGGGGACAGACCGAGAGGCAGGCGTAGAGAGGAAGGTGGGCAGGGGAAGCCAGCACCGTGGCCGGGGCACCCGCTTGTCAAACAGACCCACGGCGACCTCGAGGAAGTTACTCTGTGTCTCCGTGACTCAGTTTCCTCGCCCGTAAAACAAGGGCACGAACGGCACCTAATTCACAGGGGTTTTGCCCTTAATCAAAACGCTCAGTTAAGCTGGATGGCGGGAAGGGCCCAGAGCAGCGCTGGGACTGCGCCAAGAGCTCGCGGTCACGGGTACCTGCGCTGGTGCCGCCACCGCCGCCGCTGTCACTGTCAGCCAGGGGCGGGCCGGCGGGGACCCCAGGAGACGCAAAGACGAGAGGGTTGGGTAGGTGTGTGTGGGGAGAGCAGAGCAGGGGGTGAGGCCGGCGGGCAGACAGACCTCGGGAGGAAGGAGGAAGAGGAGACGGAGGATGAGTGAACGGAGTCTCGGTTTGGCCGGCGGACATGTGGACATGGGGACAGCGAGGGTGGGAAGTGACCCGGCACGCAGGGGGAGAAGCCGGGAAGGGCGAGCGAGGAGGGTGGGTGGTCACGCCCGTGAGGACGTGGCTGCTGGCGGCCAAGGTGTGTGCAGACTTCACCCTGCTCCTTCCTAAGCCGCCTCCGCCTGCAGCCCTCTGGGCTTGCTCAGGGTCCTGGGAGGGACCTTTGGCTCTTCCCGCACCCCAGTCCCGTCCGTCCCAGCCGGTCCCAGGCTGCTGACTTTTCCTTCAAACAGACTCTTCCTCGGTGGCCAGGTGTGTAGCTTCACACTCCTGCCACCCTGGTCCTCGGCTCGGCCACCGCCCCACCCCCGTGCCCGCCCGCTCCAGACGCCGGGCCCCCCACCCCCACCCCGACGGCGCCTCGGGGTCCCGCAGCACCTGCCCCTCCCTGGAGTCCTCCCCGCGCCCACAGATTTACCTGGGCTGATGCTCACACACCATGGCACCAAAGGGCACGCCTTTGCACGCCGCCTGAAACAGCTCCCAGCTGCAGGCTCGGGGCCGCCTGTCCCCTGCTGGGGAGCCAGCTCCGTGGGGTCGGGGACCTGCCTGTCACCTGGGGTGTGCCGGGAGATCACTTACTGCACGTGGGCACAGGGAGGAGCAGGGGAAGGGCTGGTGACCGGCTGACGGGTGGACGGAGGGATGTGAGGGTGGGGACAGGGACGGGCACCCCGTCAGGGGGAGGGAGGATGGCGCAGGTGGGAGCACGGAGTGGGTGGGAGAAGAGGAGGAGGACAGAGGACGGAGGGACGGGGTGGCGTGTGGGGGGAGGGATTACTACCGTGTTTCCCCCAAAATAAGACGGGGTCTTATATTTATTTTTCCTCAAGAAGACACCCTAGGGCTTATTTTCAGGGGATGCGCTATTTTTTTTTAAGTACGGTACAACCATCTACATTGATTCACATACAGTGAAGTCGTCTTCTTCTGGAACATCATCCTCACTCTCCAAACCCCGAATCCCATCCTGGATGTCTCTCGACTCTATTTCCTTTAGAACCATCGGCCCCAATCTCTCACATCAAGCCACAGAGCTCTCACCGGGCGGATGAGAAGGGCTGCTCGTGCTCTTTCCCGCTCCGTGACGAAATGCACGGGTTGTGCAGATGCGCTGCGTAGCCACGCCTGTCACTAGGGCTTATTTTCGGGTGGGGCTTCTATTGCGCACATGCTTAGAAACCCTGCTAGGGCTCATTTTATAGGCAGGTCTTGTTTTTGGGGAAACACGGTGGGAGGCTGGGGACGTAGGGCTTGGGCAAACAGGTAGAAGAAAAGGGGAAGGGAAGGGGCAAGGTGTCTGTCGTGGGCAGGGGATGGACAGGCAGGTGTATTTACAGGTAGGAGGGAGGGAGGGGCAGTCACGGGTGTGTGAGGACGAAAGTGGGGGTGCAGGGTGGAAACTGAGTCACGTGGTTGGGTAGAGGGAGGAAGAACGGGGGGCCGGGAAAAGAGGGGGTAAATGTACCTGCTGGGGGAGGACGGATAGGCTGGTGGGCGGCGCGGGGGCCAGGGAGACCTGAGGGAGGGGGGTCATGGCGCTGGGGAAAGGGGGTGTCTGGGTGAAACTGCGGATGCGTGTTGACGCGTGGGCGGCTGTGAAGTCACACGCAGGGCGGGTGGAGGTGACGGGGGCGGGTGGGGGAGCGGGAAGGAGGGAAGACATGACCATAGGTGACACTTGTGCGCGAGTCTCCCCCCTGCACGCTTTGCGGCCGGAGCACCCCACCCGAGCACGGGGGAGAAATCAGCACAGACGGGCGGAGCGACCTCCCTGAGGTCCCGCCACTAGCGAGGGACGTGGCCAAGCCCCTGCCGGGAGCCAGAGCCCTGCCCCGGGCGCGTGGCTGCGCGGGTCGCAGAAGCGGGGTGCACGCGGGGAGGGGGGAAGGGACCGGCTGTGAAAGGCCGAAGG